GGGAGAGGGAGGGGGCCGGGAGAGGGAGGGCGGCTCCACGATGCCAGGTGCTGAGCAGCCTTGGGCAGGTTCAACGCCTCCCTGCCCATCTCAGCAGCTTCTGCCCCAGCAGGACCAAGGTCGGAGCTCTGCTGCACAGCCAGGTGTGAAAACCCCAGCTTAGAAAGGCCCCCCTGGCAGAGATGAGAATATTTCTGAGTCCTTGGCTAAGCCCAAATAACGAGGTCTGCAGGAAGGAGCAGAGCCAAGCCATGATCCTGAACCCTGGTGGTTCCAGAGCACCCAGCATCTTCTGGCCAGCGTGAGCCGGCGGTGAGGACTCTTCCCGGCCCGGCTCCTGGAGCAGCCCTTGGGAGCCAGCTAGACCTCGCTGAAGGGCCCTCTCTGTTCTCCATGGGCCCTGGGGAGGTCATCGTCAAACTGCAAATGCAGACCTGCTCTGGCGCAGCGACTCGGCTTGCAAGAACGTCTCTTACAGGAATTCTTTCGCATGTGGTCCAAGACCCACGCACAGGGTGGCAGAGCTGAAGCAGCCTGAATGCAGTCGACAGGCCTAGCACAGGGGGGCACGTGAACAACACCGACAAGCCCGTGCAAGCTGCGTGGCTCCACGTGGCTCCGACTCCGAGAGGCGCCGTGGTCAGTCGGCAAAAGGGAGTGGCCGCCTCTGCGTCCAGCATGCTGTCGGTTACGCCTGACGAGGCAGGCTCGGATCGCTTGTTCAGGACACCGTAACGTGAACCCTCGGGCGAGGACGTCCAGGCCGAGGAGCTCTGAGGCAAACAGGCTTCCTCTCTGTTCCTTTCCTCTGGTGCCTTCTGCACGTTGTGCCAGGAGGGTGCACCCTCCTCCGGGCACAACCAAACAGCCCTGTAAGGTGCCCAGCGGTCTGGGTTTCCACCCTCAGACGCTGGCCCCGGAGCCCCTGCCGGCATCCGGAGAGCCGAGAGCCCAGCCTCTTGCCCGTTGAGGGGCATGTGTCCCTCAGCGTGTCGCAGACGGATGTGTTTTGGCAAAACTGCACATAAACTTACACGATGCAGCCATAACTGAGTGGACAGAGAACCCAGGACTCAACCTGGGGATGTCTGCAAGGCGGTGTTTGTGTCAAGAAGGTAATTATTGGCCGGGTGCAGTGGCTAAGACCTGTAATCCCAGCATGCTGGGAGGTTGAGGCAGGAAGATCACTTGCTTCCAGGAGTTTGAGACCAGCCTGGCCAACATGGCAAGACTCAGTCTCTACAAAAAATTAAAAAAAAAAAAAAAACCCAGGCATGGTGGTACACACCTGCGGCCTCAGCTACCTGGGGGGCTGAGGTGGGAGGATCACTTGAGCCCAGGAGGTCGAGGCTGTAGTGAGCTGAGATCGCTCCACTGCACTCCAGACTGGGTAACAGAGTGAGACTGTCTCAAAAAAAAAAAAAAAATACAATTTTTATATTTTTACTCAGTAAAACAAAGAGCTTCATTCTCACCGGGTACTGGACAAGCCATCTCTCCCTCCATCAGCACAACGGGAGAGGGAGGACGACATGACATCCTTGGCTCGCCAGGCAGCCTGATGACTCCATGTGGGGAAACTCCGCATTTTCAGGGGTCATTCACACCCTGACCCTGTGCTCCTGTAGTCTGGGCCTCTGGGCATTGTTGTTTGTGATTTATGGACGCCTGGCACAGAGCAAGTGCTGGACGCACATTTTCTGACTGTGTCCCCACGCCCTCAGCCTTCTGGTGTCCGAGGAGCGAGACCATCCCCGAGATGTACCTGGGAGCCTTGGGAGCACTGCTTCTCCAGGTCACAGGCAGCGGGCGCTGTGTTCACGCCCATCCGACAGAGGAGGGAACTCACCGCAGGACAGGGGTGGCGGGCATGGGGCCCCGTGGTAAATATTTTAGGTTTTGTGGGTCAACTCGAAGGACAATATGTAAATGAGCAGGTGCAGCCGTAGTTTAATCATTTTTACTTTTTAGAAACAGGGTCTTGCTCTGTCACCCAGGCTAGAGTGCAGTGGCACAATCACAGCGCACTAGAGCCTCAACCTCCCAGACGCAGGCAGCCGTCTCTCCTCAGGCTCCTGAGTGGCTGAGACCACGGGAGCATGCCTCCGCACTCGGCTAATGTCCCCATTCTGTGGTAGAGTTGAGGTTTCGCTATGCTGCCCATGCCGGTCTCAAACTCCTGGGCTCAAGTGATCCTCCCGCCTCGCCCCCCGTGTGCTGGGATGACTCATGTTCTAATACAACTTTCCTCCTGAGCACCAAAACCTGAACTTCACATGATCATCACATGTCAGGAAACCTTCCTTTTCTTTTGATATGACAAGGAGGTGGAATCACAGGAGGGTAAGTTAGTTAAGCAACTGGCCCCAAATAACCCGACTCCCCTCCACCACCAGACCACGCAGCCCCCGAGAGAGACGCCTTTGCTGGGCAAGACACAGGAGGAAGAGCATTAGGGCCCGGAGCGGGGACACCATCCACCAGTGACCCAGGCCCTTCCTGCTGCCCCCGTTCCTGTGGCAGGCACCTGCTCTCATGCCCAGCTCCTTCCTGGTGCTGCCTTCTCTCCAGATGCCCTCTCCTTCACCTCCTCCTTCCAGGAGCCCGGGCACACTCCCTAACGGCTCCTGGGGACCAGGAGATGGAAAGGAGAGGGCAGAGGTGATGCCAGAGGTGGAAAGAGGTTCAGTCGGGGGGGGGCCCACTCTGGGCTTAGCCTGGCCTCTGGTCAGCCCCTCCCCACAACCCCCTCTTGGCTGCCAGCACAGCTCAGCACAGCCCAAGCATTCCAGAGGCTATAAGAACCCAGAGGGCTAGGGGTCCAGCCAGGGGCCATCTTGGGCCTCCCCCTCCCCTGGGCGCGTCCCTGCGTCTCCACGCCTGGTAGCGGGCACTGTTCTCAAACTCGGAAGTCTAAGCCCATGGCCCATCTTTTTCCTTTCTTCCCATGCAAAAGCCATATCCACTCTGTTTCAGGTCAGTTTGACCATGGACGCTGAAGTGGGAAAGTCAGTGTCCTTTCCAGGGATGGCACCACTGGACACAGACCCCCAAGGCCCTGTGGCCCCAGACAGGAGGGCCATCCCCGTGCAGCAGAGGGTAATTTTTGTGAGCTCACTGTGGTTTGCAGCCACCATGGCACCTCTGCCCACAGGGCCCTCAAGTCTCCCACTGCCTGTCGCCCCCCTCCCCAGCCCCACCAAGTGGCCTGTTCCAAGCAGCCTCTAGGACTGGGCGGGCGTTTCCACAGGGCCCTGGCTACACCTGGCCTAGGAAAAACCTGGCCCTGGGGGAGGCGGGAGGGTGGGCATTCAGCGCCGGGGGTCTGGGGAGAGCCCACCTTGCTCTTCTCCTGCTGCAGCTCAATCTGGATGTCTGTGAGCTTGGCTCGAAGCTCCTCGTTGGCCGCCTGCAGCGCCGCCAGGGCCTCCGCCCTGTCCCCCTTGGCCCGGCTGCCCATGCCCCTCTTGGACATGGTGAGGCTGGATGGCCGGGGGGACGCCCAGGGGCAGGGCTCTCCAGCTGGGCTGGGCTGGGCTGGGCTGTCCACACCAAGCTCCCAGCAGGTGTCACCAGGGCTGTTGCTGCCCTACATCTTCTCATTCACCTGGTGGGGGAAGCACACGCGTGAGCAGCTCCCCCCGGAGCCTCGGCCTGGAGCTCAGGGGTTGTGTGCCGGGGTGGGGGCACACAGACCCCCCCCCCACCTGCCCTCGTCCCAGCACTGAGGATGCTACCTGGCCTATGCATGCCGGGGACCCAGCCCCAGACCTCAGAGCCCATCTGCCCTCCGTACGGTGCCCCCAAACAGGGAGCCCGTATCTAAGAGCACATCTCTACGCCCTGTGCATGATAAACACTCAGCACGTGTGAATTCTTTTCCCCTTAGGAATCAGAGACTGAGAGTGGGCAACCAGCTTCAAACCCAGAATTCCGCACGTGGCTGTGAGGCCACAGCACGGCAACAATGCGTATAAACCACGAGCTCTCAGACGGTGGAGGGGACCCCATGACCTGGGCTCCTCCACAGAGACCCGCAAGCCATGCCCAGGAAATGCCCAGAAGTACTGAGAGCAGGGCCTGGGACAGAAGCACAAGCGCTCAGCTCACAGCAGCACAACCCAGGCAGCCGCACCGGGGAAGCAACCCACGTCCATCGACGGGTGAGTGGCTACACAAAACGCAGAATATCCACGGAACAGAACACGATGCAGCCGTAACAAGGAGGGAGAGTCACACACACACGACGGCCGGAGAGCCCCGAAGACATTAGGCTGGGTGAAATGAGCCAGCCACAGAAGGACAAGTCCCATATGATTTCTTGGATATACTCAGGATGTACAGGAGGCAAACCCAGGAACAAAGTAGAGTGGTGGTTGCCAGGGCTTGCAGGAGAGGGGATGGGAGTTACTGTTTCCTGGAGATGGATTCCCTTTTTGTTTTTTGGAGATGGCTCTGTGTCCCATCAAGGGGAGTGGCTGTAAATACACATGAAGCTTCACTCCCTCACCCACTGCCTGCCTCCTGCTGTGCGGCCCAGCTTCTAACAGGCCACGGACAGACACTGGTCCATGGCCAGGCACTGGGGACCCTGGTGTGGGCAATCAGTGATCTCCACTGGTCACAGCAAGTCCTCCAGGTTCAACCCCGTGGAAGATGCTCACTGCCTCAGAAGAGGTGACTGGACGAGGCTGGTGAGATCCTCATAATTTCCTACCACGCTGCCAGGCGCCTCCCCCAGCTATTCCACTCCCTCAGATGCTCCCACCAGCTACTCTCTGCCAGGTGTTCCTCCCCTCCAGCTGCTCCTCCCCTCTCAGGTGCTCCTCTCTCCCTCTGAGGTTCCTTCAGGCCGCTGCTCTTCTCCCCCAGATACTCCTCTTGGCTGCCCAATGCTCCCGACAGGTCCGCTGGGTCCCTCTGTGGCCCTCCTTCCATCCTCACCGTGACCAGCTTTCCCTGGCAGAGGGAAAAAAGCACCTTCTGCTGTCGTCACCTGCTACAGGGCAGCGAAGGCTCAGGACGGAAGGGATAAGCAGGCAGATCACACACGGGGGCTTTCCCCGCAAACACAGCCCCCCCCGCCGACTCCCGCATCTCCTCTCGGGGTGAACACGGGCTCCCCGTACTTCTGCGTCTGTCTCCAGTCTGTTTACCCGCTCACAGGACCTTGGGAGGGAGACTTGGACATGGACCCTTGTAGTTTGATGAAGGCCAGACTTTGTGGGTATGGGGTTCAGAGACCAGTGGAGGTGACCAGGGAAGGGGCAGGGCCATGGGGCAGCCAGGTGGCCTGGCCTCCAGAGGTGAGTGAAGATGGCCTCACAGAAGGGGGCTCATGGGGAAGTAACACAGATACCCAGGAACTGTGAGGAGCCTGCGGGGCTGAAAGGAGAACTGGGAAGAGGCTGGGCACCTCTTACCCTGCAAGGCCGCCGGCCTCCACCTGGACGGGGAGGGAGGGCCCATCGGGGCTGACGTCAGCTCTGCATGTGTGAGGTGGTTGTGGGGGGAGCTGGAGGGACCAGGCTCGGGCAGATGGCAGAGGTGGGAGCCGTTGTGGGGTGCAGGGAGAGGAAGGTACCCTCGGGATGCCACTGCAGACAGGGCTGGACCCACAGACGGGGCTGAGGCTGTGCCCAGGTTGCCCTGAGGACGTTGTCAGAGGCATCTTCATTTACAAAGGGGAAGGTGCTCACAGGGCCCAGCAGGTGGTGCCTCTCCCCCCTTTCCAGCTCTGTCCTGAGGACAATACCCCAGGAGCTCAGGAAAGGCCCAAAAAGAGTGCAGAGGAGTAGAGAGGCCTGAGGAGGGGGAGGAGGAAGGGGGCTTGGCTGGCTTTGCCGGTGGAGACTCAGAGGATGTCGGGCGGGCAGGCCCTTCCGGGACACGGACTCCTGGAAACGGGAGGAGATTCTAAAGGTGCTTTGCTCTCTCTTAGATAGCAAGCCGCTCTAGAAGGAGAGGCACCAGCTGACGCTTAAATGACTTTTAGTGACTCTTGGCCCCAACCACACGAGTGACAGGTGGGCTCCTGCAGACCCCAGACCTGTGGGCCCACCTCCCGCTTTCCTCCCTGGGGAACCATGAAGGGGCCCCTCCATGGAGAGGAAGAATCCACTGGAGAAGAGCGGGGTCCTATCCTGTGCACCGGGGTTCGGGTACGTGTTCTCGTCCACCACAGGCGAGCGCTCCGGTCGACATCCCACCTCCCGCAGGGGTCGTCTTTCCGGCTTCCAAGAGCACGTTCCTACCTCCATTCAAGTCCTCGTGGACAGCCCCGGAGAGACAGGGCTCTGGCTTCCTTCAGCGGCACCACCCTTCTGGGACGGAGCCCGCGCCGCCACTGCCCCCTCCTGGCCACCGCACCGTGTTCTGTGCAGCGCTCACTGCCTGCGGGAGAAACTCTCCATCTGCTGGCTCCGGCAGGACCATTGGAGAAAAGGCAAAATAAAATGGCTGTCGAGACAGCTGTCGTTCCCACGGTTTTGCTATTTTAAGTACATGGAGCAGTTTTTGAAAAAGAATCCATTTTAAAGGGTCCTGGCTTGCTAATTTCAAATGGTCAACGTCTAGACCCATCCCAGGAGTTAATTTCTAATTACCCCACTGTTTGTAGCATTTAGTAGTTAATTTTGTTTTAGGGAGGCTTCAGTGGAGGGAGGGAGGTCCTCGCTCTGTCACCAATGACAGAGTCTGGTCACAGCTACATCTGCCCTGGGGAGCTTGGATCAGCCCTGGAGCAGGAGCTAACAGGGGTCAGGGCAGGTGCAAGCTCAGAGCAGACACCCCTGACAGCACTGCACCAGCCCCCCACCACAATGGGGTCACAGGAGGGCTGGGGCAGAGCTGTCCCTTCACTGAGAATCACAGCAACACAGCGTGAACCTCACGTGCAGATGAGCCCTCCAGACACCGTGGACTGTCTTCAAACCCACCATCACCAGGCACCGTGGACTCTGTTCAAACCCACCATCACCATGCACCGTGGACTCTGCTCAAACTCACCCTCACCAGACACCGTGGACTCTGCTCAAACTCACCCTCACCAGACACCGTGGACTCTGCTCAAACTCACCATCACCAGACACTGTGGACTCTGCTCAAACTCACCATCACCATGCACCGTGGACTCTGCTCAAACCCACCCTCACCAGACACTGTGGACTCTGTTCAAACCCACCATCACCAGGGCGGGCATGGTAGCTGCCGACCAACAGCATGGCTGTGCAGCCAGGGGCCTGATGTGCCGAGGGATGCACCGTCTGTGACACTGCACGTGAGCCACAGGCACAGGGCAGGCGGTGTCCAGGGGACCAGCCTGATGAGGACCCATGAATGCACCCATGAGTTTGCACCGCTGACATAATCAGAATGTACATTAAAGCACTCGGTGTCTTTCGTATGTGCCGAGTTGCATTTGACCAGGAAAAGCCAGAGTCCCTCCCGAGCCTGTTGGTCTGAAAGAGGTAGAGTTTGCACACAGGATCTCCCCAAACCCAGCAGAGAGTGCTTCCCCTGCTGGACAGGGGTCTGCAACCGGTCTCAGGCCGGGACTGCACCTTCCTACTTTCCTTGGGGAAGTCATTACATTAACAGCACAGATTGCCTTTTATTTCGGGGTATCCGAGGAGGTATAAAAACAATTTACTTCCCAGTCATGGTCTGGAGGCTGCGGACATGCTCCAGGTTGGCCTCTGGTGAGTCGTTTTATGGCAGGAGGTTTCCCTGTGGGGGCAAAGCGTTACGACCAACGATGTGTTTCCACCTCTGGTGAATCTCTGCAGTGAATCTCCTCAGTCAGCCTCTGCGTCGCTGCCGAGGAGGCTGCCCCGGGAAGGATGTTTCCACCACCGGTGAATCTCCGCAGTGAACCTCCCCATCACTGGCGAGGTGGCTGGCCCGGTTAGGGCTTGGCTCCATTCTGTCCCTGTTGGGCTGTTTACTAAGCATTGAGCCTCTGGATTTGGGCTTCAACACCCAAATGACCACCATGGGACACAGAGGACACCGAGAAGTCAGACCCGTCTGCACTGAGTGGCCTTCAGAGCCACCCCCTGTGATTTGGGGGCAGCCTGGGGCATGATGGTCCATGTCTCTGCAGCTCTCGTGACCTCACAGGGCTGTGAGCATTTGGCTTGGATTCTTTCTGGACTAACTAGTTTATCTACGGAGAAGAAAGGATGGATCTGATGATTCATTTCCATGGAAATCCAATATCTGGGGTGGGAGAGGGGATGGAGGAGGGTCAGAGACCCCATCAGAGCCCACAGGAGGGGGACGCACGGACCCACCAGGCCCACCCCGTAGGTCACCTCTGACAGATGCCTAGGCTTCGTGGGAGGAGAAAGGGTGAAGACACAGGCCCCAGGGCCTCCTCCGTTCACTGGGCCCCTCTCGGTGAGCCTGGCAGGCTGAGCTGCCGGCAGAGGGCTGCAGAGAGGGCGGGGACCACAGTCTTCTCCCCTGGGGCAGACGGGCGTGAGCTTCCAGGTGACCCTGAAGAGAAGCCCCTCACCCATTAAAAACAAATAGGGCTCAGAGGGGGTCGCCAGCTGGCCCTTCGTGCCTGGGTGTCAATATCATTGATCAGAGAACTGGCTCCAC